ATAATCAGGGTCGGGGCAGGGCGTGGACCTCAATCCCCATCCCCAACCCCGACCCCGACCTTGACCGAGGATTCCTATTAATGCATCACACTCTTTAAAGTATAAGGTTGCGTTTGTCTGTGGTGTAAATGTTGGACGGTTGTAATACTACACTCTGGTCCAGTTTTATGGTTGTTTGGATAAAATGTAAAACACCAATGAAGATCGTTGTAAAACATCCCTTTTAAGAAACTTTTACATCGATAATCTATGTGAAAAATATATTTAAAAAAAATGATATAAAATCTCTTCATTTCTCCATTAAAGTAAAAGTACTCTTACTCGTAACATCTCTCTCTTCTCCATCTCCTCCTGTTTTGTCTCAACCCCATGGTAGTGTCTCCTCACTGGTGCCATTGCTTCTCCGCCTAGCCATCCGAAGCCATATCTATAAAGTGCCAGTCAGACGAAATACCACTCGCATACTGATGGACTCAAGGTTCTGCAACATGGCTTTAGTTCTAGAGGAGATTTGGAAGCCTTTTTGGGGGAGGGAGCAAGGTCGTCTTCGAGCCCTTTTGCAGATTTTGAGTTGGGTGGTATTCTTTGGGTACACAGAGACTACTGGATTATGATTGGGGGTTTCGTTTTTGGGTTTTTTTTAGGGAGATCTTATAAACCTTTTTCTCATCTCTACCATGAGAAAACAAGCCAACCCAGATAAATAAAAAAAAATAAAAAACGATAGATGATTAGATATAGAAATTAGAATTAATGTTGTTGAGCAGTGGCGTTGACGAAGGTGGCCGATACTTGTCCCGTGCATTGATAACGTTGATCAAATTGATGGTTCGACCAAAGTCTGGCTTGGGTGCTATTGTGCGGCATTGCCACAAACAAGCTATTAGAACCTCAAATGTGGAGTAGGCATTGATGAGATGTGGAGGTAAGTGCTTGCATAGGGCTGATATTTCTCTTATGCTAAAAAGGAATGACTGTCAAACCATTTCATCATCATCGGCTAGAGGGGAGCTAAGCACCTTGATCGCTTGCATCCTTTCCTTCCTTTATACCCAAAAATGTAGGCATGGCACTCACAGTGGAACACGAGCATACAATAGTTCCCTCTACCACATGGGTTGCACAGACGGGGCCTTTGAACCTCTTGCCATCTCATCAACGGCCTTCGTGCTTTGTATTGGGTGGTCTACAAAAAGAGGGATGGAGATTTAGATCGATGGGTATTCTCCAAATGTGAGCAACAGGGTAACGCTACTTTTACATCGATTATCCAAACACATATGAGTGTAAATGGGTGTAAAAGCCGGTTTGCTTTTTACACCAACAGACTTGACCGTTCTTAAAATCCATTAGTGTGATTTTGTATTTACACTGCGAATAAACACAACCTAATGGTTTATTCATTTAAGTCGGTGGGTGTTGAACTCTATTGATGTATTTTTACATCGATAAATATTTACACCAAAAGCAAAATGTATTTTAAGCAATTTTCTCCTCTCTAAGGATTCAATTTGAGTTTGGATCTGCTCCTAAAAAAGCACTCCTCACATCAACCTCACAACGCTTTCCAGCCACACATCAGGAACATCTCCTATACTTTATGTTGTTATTCATAGGGAGATGCTCCCATTATACGGTGTCTATGGAGTGTGCTCCATGAGGAACAAATCCTGATTCCACAAAGCTTTACACACACTGGCCTCACAATATGTCACAGCTGCACATAGGGAACATTATATTAGCATGGGAGGCCCTGCTACATAGTGCGAGTGTGATACATTAGAAAGTTATCCACATAAATTTGCTTCCAATTTAACGAAATTCAAAAATGCTTTAAGAGAATTTTCATTTAGAGCGAATGACCAATTACCACATAAAGGATTATATGGTTTTCCCCAAATTTTCAACCCGTGGTTGACTTGATCAGTTGAATAGTTCAAAGTGTCACCCTAGAAGGTTTTGGTAGAGTTGTAATGTGAGTTGGGCCAATAGTGGCCGGCCCAGCATGAATGCATGATAGGGGTCATGCCTAGCACGGCATGGTCATTTTTAATATCGTGTTATGGCTGTAAAAACCCCTACCCTCCCTCATTCTCACCACAACCCTACTCTCTTACGTTACATTACATACTCTCATACTCTATTACTCTCTACAATGGTCGACTCTTCCCAAAATGCTTTTCCTTTTGTTAATGAAGCTCATCCCCTTTGGTAACAGGAGTGGAGTCTCGACTATGTTTGAGATTATGAAAATCCCTAGAAAAGAAGAGCAGTTTGCCAATAATGATGAATTGATTTCATTTGTCACAACAATGGTGTGCCACTGCCCATTTGTATAGACACATGGCATATCACCTTAAATAGGAAAGAGAAGGAGAGAAGCTTGAGTGAATGAATGATAAATTCTATTGTATTTTTTTAATATATTATTTATTTTTTGTACACATTAAATTTGAAATGACATTTTTTCCAACTTATTGTTTATTATTCATGTTAATTTTCTACTATTATATCTTACATCTTATTTTTTATATTTTTTCTTAGTTTAGGAAAAGTGGAAAATGTGTTGGAAGTCTTCCTGGAAGGAAAGGAATTAAAGAAATAAAGTAGGATAGACCCGGGCCCAACCTGCCATGGCCCGACTCCTCAGGCCTGGCACGGTTGGGAACTGAGCGATGGGCCATGCTGGGACATGGACCGTGCTGTCCAAGCATGCCTTGAGGCTCAACACAACATGGCACGACGGATATTATAAATCTAGATTTCGGGTCCAGTTCTAATAAAAACTATCTGCCCTGAGTAGTTGGATCATTGACCTGTTCGACCCGATGAATAGGTCATGGGTTGCACGCTAAATGTATATTTTCGAAAGCGATAACTTTGTATTTCAATGTTCAATTGGGGTGATCTTTTTTTTTTTTTTTGGGTAACATATTGAGATAAATGCTTCCCAAGATTTTGTGCCTTGCCCCACTAATTTTACAAAAAGTCTATTTTTTTGCCTTAAATCACAATTTTTAATATTTTTACAAATAAAAAACAATAAACTAAATTTAAAAACATAAATCAAATGTAAAATAATACATGTGTTACATATAGAACATAATTATACATTATTTATTGATAAAAAAACATGTTTATATATACATATTCACATACATACATGCATATGCTTATTGCTAATGCGGCACGATCTATCCCGTTCGACCCATAAGTTGAACAAGTGGCTCACAACCTGAAGACAAAAATGTTTCAGCCTCCATGTCAGTTTTCAAAATATTGTCCCCAAAATTATTCCCCCTTGATCTCATCCCCTTTCCCTTACATTGGATCCATCATAGTAATATACTTTCATATACCCACCCTTGAATAGTTCCAATTCCACACTAAAGGCCCATTCACTTTTTGGTAAGTTATTTACCTTGGTAAATGTAATTACCTGGGTAAGTTATTCTTGGGACACACTTACCTGGGTAAGTGCATTTACCCATGTTCTTTTATTTCCCAAGTAAATAAGGCAATGACCATTTTAGCCATAAAAACGATAAAAATCCATTATTTAAAGGGGTATTTTTGTTCCATTCAAGTGTTGTCAACTTTCTCCTCAGGTGGGAAAGTTATTTACCCACAAAGGAGATAGGTATCACTTACCCGGGAAAATAAACTTTTTCTCGGTCCCCACATTAATCTAAAAAAAGAACATGGGGTTCTTGGTCAATGGGAACCAAAATCCCATTGACCAACTTTCCCCCCTTTCAAAATCCACAAAAAGCACGCCCCTAAAAATAAGGTCTATGACAAAATCATTACATTCTATTAATTAAATAATAAAATTGAGATATTTCATAAAAGAATAAAGTAAATAAAAAAATCATATATTTTATATCAGGACCGGGCATCGGGTACATCAATCTTTAAAAATACCACTATTTCAATGAATGAATCAATGGCTAAAAGCAATTATTAGTGTTGGTTAAGTGGTTAGCTTTTTTAGGCCAATCTCTCTCTCTCTCTCCTCTTCATTATAAACTATAATTATGCATGTCTTCCCTTTCTAAATTAAGCTTTTTATTGATATTTCTTTTTTAAAGAATAAAAATTGAATATTATTTTTTTGTAAATTTTCTAATATTTATTTCATATTATATAAGTATAGTATATAATATTTTAATTTCTTTCTAAGCCAAATGGTTGGACCACTAAACGTATAAAATAGATCATTATTCATAGAATAAATAAAAGTTACATAAAGTAAAAACTACTTCATATAATAAAGTATTCTATCTATAATATATAATATCAATAATACATTTAAATTTTAATTTGATTTACTTTATTAAATGAAATAAAGATTAGTGATAGAATAGACAAGCAAATAAAAAGCAAAATGGTGAAAATAATTATTTGAAATTTATTAAATAAAATGGCAAATGAGGGGTGAGGATTGAGTATAAATTTTAGAACTTAAAAAATAAAATAATCCAATTGCTAAAAAAAATAAAATCAAAATCAATAAGAGCATAGAAAATAATAATATGTCCTATTTCCAAATTTTTATTTTATTTTTCTAAACAAAATAAAAGCACAAAATGAATATTAAAACAAATAATAATAAATAGAAGTATTAGACAATTAAAAAGGAGAAAACATTACTTTTAAAACAAAAATATTAAAAACTCAAGTAAAAATTTTCAACACTAAAATGTATAATGAAAACATAAAAAATAAATGTTTCCAAGTAAAATAAAGCAGAAATAATAATAATCCAATGTCTATGAAATAATCTTATAGGTTTTGTAGTGAGAGAGAAAGAGAGGAAATTGAGGATTGAAAATATATACATATAAGGTAAAGAGAGGTTGGGTAGTAGATGGTAGGTAAAGTAAACAGTTATGGAATAAAGTAAAAGATATTAAGGGCCCATTTGTTTGCGAAAATAGGGGTTTAGAATTAGAATCAGAATAGGCCATTTTCAATTCCAACTATTTGGTTGGGTAGAATCAGAATCACATTTCCATTCCTTATGGAATGGCATTTCCCCATTTGAGGGAATGACCATTCCCTTCCCCTCCCTTTGGAATGAAATCTAATTCCAGCTTATTCTAATTCCCATTCCAATTCATGTTTGAACCAAACTGACTATGGGAATAGATCATTATGATTCAAATTCTGAAAAGTTTTGATTCCGATTCTGATTTTGACAATGAACCAAATGGATAATAATATTCATTGGGCATTAAATGTTGGGATAAAGTAAGGTTCAAGATATAGGTACAACCCGCTACACCGGTATAGGCATATCGGGGCTTGTTCCCCTATTTCTTTTAGTTTTTTTAAAACCTGGTTCAGAGGAGTCGGTTTAAGGCATATCTACCCCCTGAATTAGGTTAAACCCCCAAAACCCCCTGTAGGGGTGTATTGGGGGGCCCAATGCGATACGTATCAAAATTTTGAACCTTGGGGTAAAGAGGCATGAACATTTAGATGTTGAGTAAAGATAATAAATATCATTGGGTATTAGACATCGGATAAAACAACAAAAAGGTATGGTACAATTGTTAAGGTTCAATTTGAAAGGAGTATAAATACAAATATATACAAAATAATACAAAATACATAATTTTGTACTCTACATATTTTCATTGGTACTCCTTCCAAAAACAACCTAAGTAGCAAGGGCTATAGTGAGCAAATATCTACAAGGCACACACAATGGCACACATAGTAAATACACTCTCGCAATGAGGTTAAAGAATGCACAAAGTGATCATTAAGGTCAATTTCATGACAGAATATGTAGTCATGACTCAGATGGAGGGTTTTTGTATGGTAAAGCAATGCATATTCTCCCATGTTTATGCTATAGAGCATGAGGCTTTGACAGTTTGACCTTGTTGGAATAGTCTGAGTATGCTAATCACAACACATTGTTGGCCACATTCACTAAGTGTTTGTTCGTTTGCTTTGAAGTCTGACATATGAAAGTGTAATAATTACATTAAGAGGTATATTGGTACTGGTGAATTTTTTTTTCCTCTAAACTCTGAATGCAGAGAATGTTGTTTTGAATTCTGAAACTATCAAATATTCATTTTGACCCCATATATGAGAGTTTTTGTTTGTCTTGTTGGAGTATCATTGAAAAACAAAAAGTTGTATGATTGCACTTTAAGAGATAAGGGATTAAAGGAAACGAACAACCAATTTTCTCTTAAAGTTAAAAGATTCCTCTCAAGATATAAGAGTTAAGAGGAAATGAATAGGCCCTAAGGCGCACATTGGGAATAATGGTGATATAAAGTATAATTGATGTTCCTAATGTGTGGCTAAATGAATATAGCCAGCAATGTGCTGTGGTCAACAGATCCGAACTTTCATTGGAAGGGTTGAAGTTTATCATTAAGCTAGGTATTTTCTTAGCCTTAGTCGAGGGTGATGCTAGAGTTGTTATTCAATCTCTGTTGGAGACATCGGCTTCTCCTTTGTTGCAATTACAATGGTTAATTGGCAATTGCATGTATTTGTCAAGCATATATTCTTTTTACGCATTGGAGTGTCACTAGGGAGTTTACATCTACGCTCCTTAGAGGGCTCTCACATGCACATCTCAACATGTATTGGGAACATCTCCTGTACTTGTCACTAGAAAATGTTCCCAATACACGGTTGGGATGTGTTGTGGAGCGTAGATGTGATCTCAATATGGCCATTCATCACTTAACTAAAGATGGTGGTTCAATTGATAGGATGCCTAACTCAATTGTAGCAGAGTTCTTGAACCAAAATTCCGTTGCCACCCGGGTTTAGGAGGTCAGAATCCAAACTCAGTTTTCACACTATTCTCACAACACTTGTAGTGCTGAACTTTGATTCAATCCTCACAAGGCTATGCTACAACCACTTACAGTTGTGTATTGGGAATATCTTCACATGAATAAAAACATACAAGTACGAAGATATTCCCCATACATGGTTGCAATTGGCTGTGAGTACAGTCTTGTGAGGATTGAATCCGATCTCTACAGCCTTGCATTGGGATCATCTCCCCATGAATAAAAAAAAACATAAGTACTAAGATGTATAAATGCACGACTGTAATTGTTGTGATGACAAATTTTGTGAAGAATAATCCAAGTCTTAGGGGTTTAGAGGATAGGAATGAATTACCCTCATAGTGTATAACTTGAGTTTGGATTTGCTCCTCACACCAACCTCACAAGCACTTGGAGCTGCACATCGGAACATCTCCGTACTTCTAAGGTGCTGTTCGGTATTGTTTACATCTCGTGGATAGACCATTTTGGTCCATGCTACGAGATGAAAGTAGCATTTGGTTCACTGTGGATGGGACCGGTCCACATTATCTCGTGGACCAGTCCCATCCACACCCTAATTTCTCGGCAACAACTTCTTCTCGTGGATGGATTTCTTCCACAGGTTGCCTTTGATAATGTGTTTCACGCATAGTATCTATAACCCTACATCTTGTTCAATGTCTCCTCCACCAAACCTCTGCTATTGTGCTCCACTGCCGTCGCCTCTGCTGTTGTGCTCCTTCGCCAAACCTCCGCTGCTGTGCTCCACTGCCTCTGTTGTACTCCATCGCCATCGCCTCTGCGTGCTCCACCGCCTCTGCTGTGCTCCATCGCCTCTGCTGTGCTTCACCACCTCTGCGTGCTCCACTGCCTCTACTGTGCTCCACCGGCGCTATCCAAGTACTTTACCGAAGGTAAGAGTAAGACCCATGTTCTTTTTTTATCTTTAACAACATCCTCTATTTTTTTTCTCTTCACTGAACCTCTACATTGCTTTCATGTTTTATTTTATTGGTTTTTTTTATGTTTCTTTCTGGGTATTGTGTTGGTGGTCACAATCTCCAACATGCGTGTTCTTTAGTTTTGGGTATTGCGTTGTAGTCTTTTTCTCTCCTTTCTCTCTTTTATTCTTCTCCTATTATCTTGGTCATCTTTTCTTCCATTGTTTAACTCTATTACAAATTCTACCTATGAATTTGCACAAAATTCCACTGATCACATTTTCCTGTGATTCAAACAGTCATTGACATTATTACTAGTTGTGAATAGAATTGGTCATATGACACAAAAATCTCAACTACAATAATTTAGATTGGAAAAATAAAAGAAAACAACGAATCAATTATAGTGATGAAATAAAATACTTATTTAGGTGCAATAGGATGATACTCATTCAGATGAGAGCAGAGCTAGGTCACCAACTCTGTTAACCTCCACCACCTGCTTTGCAGATGAGAGCAGAGCTGGTTTTCGAATATGAAAGTTACTATTTTTAGGTCCACATAACTTATTAGGCAAAGCACAAACAAACCCATTAAGGCCACCACTAGGGATGTTAGCATCAATGAAATAATATTTGTTTAAAATATTTAATATATATTTTAATTATTTTACTATTGTTTTATAAAAAAATGATATTTTTTGGCTAGCATTAATTCATTGATGCATTTTTTTTTAAATACTTATCATACAAAATGCAAAAATTAAATATTTATGATTAATTCCATGTACATGAGATACATGGAATCAAAAAAAGTGTGGTGTTGTCCACACCACACTATAGGAACACCACTATGGGTGTGGACTAGTCTTGTCCACACAGTTTGTCCACAGTTTAGAACAACTATGGACTATGGTGTAGTATGAATTGGTCCTTGCCACAGGGTGTAGTGTGGACCGGTTCACACCCACCAATTTCTCATCTATACAAAACACCCCCTAAATTAACCTTCATAGAAATGTTCCCAATGGCTCTTGTGAGGTGAGCACCCTCTCTGAGTAACAAATCTGAATTTGTATGATCCCAGGAAACCAAAATATTTACAAGGAACATCCCATAATTGAGATCTATATCTACTTGCAGGGAGTGCTTCTCACACCGACTACACAGCTACATCCTACCGTGTATTAGGAACATCGCCCATGAATAATAACAGACAAAGTTCATAAGATATTCTCGATATGCGGCTGTACATGATGTGAAGTCGTGTGAGAGTACATCCGGACTCTCGTATTCATGTGAGGAGTAACTCGACACAATCACATTCCAGACCCTAATTTTGAAACTATTTTGCTAATTAATTTCTGACAATGATTCGAATCCGATGAATAAGATCCGACTAGAACAAGATTATACACAAATCAAATTTCGATCTACCTAGTAGCGGTGCGTTCGGGGGCCGACAAATGTTCATTTATTAAATTGACTAAAATAACCCTAACAGAACCGCTAAATATCAAAACTGAGGTTGCCATTTCCCGGCAGAAATCTGGAGAGCTCCACTCTACAGACTACAGTTCGCCTCAGGCCGAAGTGCCAAACTTCTACACAAAGACAGACAAAATTACAAATAACTCGCAAGATCGTCTTTGTATTCTCGTGTCGCTGGAACCTGCGGTTACGGATTCACAAACTGAACCTGTGCTTGGCGACGATTTCCGGTCAGGATGATGGGAAAACCAGTTCCCTATCCGTCCTCTCCGGTCTGCACCCTACAGCGATCGCTTCTCACTTTTGCCGCTTTAACCCTAATTTCCTTCACTTATGTCTCCTTCAAATCTCTCCGTTTCCCACTTCAGTACGGGTCGGATCTCTCGGAAAATCCTCCTAAAGTTAAGGTACTTCTTTTTTCTAATTTAATTTATTGTTTTCGATTCGATCCCCTATTTCGAAGTTCGGTTTTCGGGATTTTTTTTCTGAGTTTTTTACGCAGGTTTTGATGTATAAAGGTCGTTGCAGAGGGAGATTTTGTGGAACTTTCAGACATCTATCACTCTCCGAAGGTTTTCCTGCTGAATTACGCGGAAATGGAGAAGAACTTTAAAGTTTACATATATCCCGATGGAGATCCCAATACTTTTTACCAGACGCCGAGGAAGCTTACGGGAAAATACGCAAGCGAGGGTTATTTCTTCCAGAATATTAGAGAGAGCCGATTTCGTACGGATGATCCAGATCAGGCTGATCTTTTCTTCATTCCGATTTCTTGTCACAAGATGAGAGGAAAAGTAGTTCTCTCCTCCCTTCCCTTTATTAATTCACCACTGCAATCCATTACAAAGCCTTTTGCAGATCATAGTTTACCACATATCTTAAAATCTGTTTTTTTTTTTTTTGATAAATTATCCTAAAATCTATTGTTTATCCAAAATTTAGTATTAATACTATTTATCTTCCCCAAAGTTAACTGCCAAGAAACATAGAATCATGGCTCATTTCTTGTTCTAATCTACAGTATTCTGAAATAAAACTTTGAGTGGATGTAGTGCCAAAATGTGTTTGCAGCAACCATGGACATTTGCTACGAATAGAGGAGATTATAAGTTTTATAGCCTAGTAATTAACTACATTCACATTGGCACATCAAACTGCAGGGATGGAATCTCTGAATCCCGAAAGCAGGGAAACGAGCTTATTATATGAAGTTCGGAACAGGGGAATCTCAAATTACAAATTTGTTTGCTAAACTTTTGAATGGCACGATCTAGTCTTATTAGCAATTTTCCCTTTGGCTCCATTCCCTTTACAGTCCTGTAGCTGCACAGTTCAATGGAGAACATTTCCTTGTATATTGAAAACAAAGTATATAAGTGAAACCAGAGGAGAATGGCGTGCTACTTCTTCTGTACACGTTCCATGTAGCTAGGGCTTTATGACCTCAGCAATGGATCCTATCTAAGACATCTTTTGGGCAAAAAACATTTTTCATCAAATTAGGTTACTAGAACTTCGGAACCTGCCTTTCTTTCTTTTTTCGTATTTCTTTTAATTAATGGTGGTATCCTTTCCTTCATAAGATAATTCAGAATTTTTGAGTCATTTAGTGCAGAGTGATAAAATTTCTTCTTTTGAACTAAGATTTATTCACCTTTCTGATTCCATTTGCATGTGATGTGTATTTAATTGTATGCAGGGCACATCTTATGAGAACATGACGATAATTGTCCAAAATTATATCGAAAGCCTAATATCGAAGTACCCTTACTGGAATAGAACTCTGGGTGCCGATCATTTTTTTGTTACTTGTCATGATGTTGGTGTCAGGGCAACTGAAGGAGTTCCGTTACTTGTTAAGAATTCAATTAGAGTTGTCTGTTCTCCTAGCTATGATGTTGGATTCATTCCACACAAGGACGTAGCTCTCCCTCAAGTATTGCAGCCATTTGCTCTTCCAGCTGGTGGGAATGACATAGAAAATAGGTAACACAACATGGTGGAAGCATCACTTTACATATTTTACAATATGAAGACTAACATTTGAAAGGACATCTGTTGGTTATGTTGTCTCAATTTATTAGTTATTGTCTGACAACAATAAATACCTCCTTGATATCTGTGCAAGCAAATACTTTTTATCTGGGTTGGCCCCTGATATAAGTGAAATTGGATTAGCTGAACGCATTGACTGTTTAGCGGGCAATTTTGTGGGAATTTTTGGGTACTCGACCTGTCCTGACCCCAATAGGACCCATTTATCAAAACCCTATAGGGTCTGGGACAGGTTTAGGTTTTGTCCTTAGGGTACCTGATACCCAAACCTGATTATATTTAACATAGGTCCACTCCCATTACCTGATTATAAACCCTTGCATATATTATTAAGTATGGGAAAATTTATGATGCTGGAAAAGACATGATACTCAAAGAACTTTGACCAATCAAGGCCGCCCATGAATTTTAATAGAAAGCAACTGATTCATTACCACTTTTATGATACTGGTTGATTGGTTATGGTTATAAGTTATTCTGATACCATAGTCAAACTATATACATCTTCACCACTAGCCTACCACACCATTTTTGCTTAAGAGGGCATCACATTTCGCTTATGTGATGATGGGTTTGGGAAATTGGGAAAAAAGTTAAACAGGTTTGGGATCAAGGGTGTTTAGGTGGGTTTGAGAATGAGAAGGGAAGTTTTCACGGGTGCCCTACCCATTGCCATCTCTGGTGGAATCAATGATAACACCCCATCCCAATCATAAAATACATGTGACCCACAACGAGAGATTGAAAGGTGGTGGGCCCCATGTATTTTATGATTGGCATGGGGTGTTATCATTGGTTCCACAGCCCACTAAACAACCAATGTGTTCAGCCAATTGGAGTTAGATATAAGTTAGTTTGATTTTGGCATTCTCGAAAGGCTTGTGCTATGCGATCGAGAGCAAAGGGGCATTAAAGAGAACTTTGCCTTTTGTATGCATTTTCACTTTTCTTAGTAAAATTTCTTTTATTGATCAGCACATAAATAAATAATTATTGGATGTTAGAATTTTGGCATTCCCAAACCTAGAACTGAAACCTTTTTGAACATCACAAGTCGCATAAGGCTAGTGCCCCCAACTTCAATTATGAAAAACATGTTCAATATTCTATGTTATCTTTTTCTTTTCTTAATAGACCTTGTTGTGTAGGGACCTTGGAAGATGTGGTTTGCTTCCAATGTAGGAAGATTTATTCCTACTTTTCTTGTAGCTAATGTTTACTTCCATTTCAATAATTGTTGACCTCATTTAACTATGTAACTAGATCTAAATTTTGGTTTAATGAAGTTTGATGGCACTTGCATCAAGTTTGTTATTTTAGGCCTATTTCCTTAACTCGGTGTCCTTCAGAAAGTGGCTTGTCTAGGGCTAACCTAAATGGAACCGTGGAGTGCTCATGGAGGGTCACCTTGCTTAATCGCTAAGGTGGGTATGATGGGTTTCTTATTCAATTCTTTGATTGAGAAGATGGGTATGATGGGTTCTTTTCCACATCCCTATGGTTAGTCTTTCCATACTTTTCGTTGTTAATGATACTTAATACCTTTTCTAATTAGCAAAAAAAATTATCAAAATTAAAAGAGAAAAGAATACAAAGCAAGAACCAGAAGCATCCTAGAGAGTTATTTTCTTCCCATCCTTGGGGAGAAATGTCGAGTTGCTAGATGACCTAAGATTGAGGATTGGGTGTTTACAACAACCACAAGAAGCATTAAAGGGATTCCATCAAGGGAACCGAAAGCATATAATAAACCTATTGCTATATAATGCAAAACCTCATCAAACATGGTGATTCTGGGGTGACCAGGGGAAAACATAGACTTGGTTGAGTTAGGCAGAGAAAAGAAGTGAGACAAGGTGAAGTGAGATGAAGGAAGTGTTCATGAGGTCAAATAGAAATACTCTTGATCGAGTTAGGTGGTTAGATGCTTGCTTGGTTGCTCAATTTTTTTGATAGATAAATGAAGTATATATCATTCAAAAAACAAGCAGGAGGAGGGCAAGGCACCCTCAACTCGAGTACAAAAAGATTTTGTACATGATTACCTTTCTAACATACTATACACTTAGAGTTAATTGAAAATTATACCAACTATTCAACAAACTCTTGATAGAAGCATCTATAAAAGAATTCAAAACTCGCGCTCGCTGCACAAGGGACCACTGAACTTTGCTAATCACTGCTTTGAGGGGAGCAGACTTTGCTTGAAAGATGCGGGGGTTCCTTTCCTTTCACACAATCCAGCAAAGGGCGATGGGAAGAAGGTGCTTGAGGATCTTTCCTCACCTAGAGAGGCCCACCTGGGGCCAAAAAGTCAACAAGGAAGGTAGGTCCGAAGGTAAAATCTAGCTCTTGTTAAACAACCACTAGAAATGGGACCAGATAGCCAAGGTGAATGGGCATTGTGGCAAAAGACGACTCATAGTCTCTTGGTCTGAACCACAAAGCCTACAAGAGTTTTCAAAAAGCAATCCTTTGCTCCTTAGATGGTCAACTGTGAGAGGCTTTAGAGATGAGAGAGGAGAGAGCCGACTTGTAGCAGGATTTGGAGGAGAATCCCCTTAAGTTTTTTTTTTTTTGTTTTTGTTTTATAATTGAATCCTCCTTAGTTTTCACCAATCCAAACTTGGCAGTCTACTAAGATATGAGATCCTAATAGCCTAGCCAACAGAGAACTAAAGTCCTCTAGCTCCAAGTCAGTCGAGTTCCTTTGAAAAGGGTTGTTCCATAAAGCCTGCTTAGTTGCTTGATTTGTCAATTCTGAGCCAGAAGGGGAAGAATTTTTGGATTGGGTTAATGTGGAATGGCGCCCAAGAAGTATTAAACTTAGAAAGTTAAACACAGGGTTTTTCCTTTTTTTTTTTTTGAACAAGGATGTTGAGGAAGTTTTGGCTCGTGAAACCAATAAGGTTAGATTTTTGGAGATAAGGTTGGGCAAGTGGAATTTGTTGACCAGAGCTATAGGCGCAGTAGTTCATAAAAGTCTAATGTGGATCAATAGCTTCGGTATTCCTCTCAATGCTTGGAGTTTATAGATGTTTTGTGCAGTGGAGGACACACACGAGAACTTTAAGAAAATCGACCCTTGGATAAATAGATGGAAAAACTTGACAATGGTGTGGATTTTGCTTGAAGTGGAAGAAATTAATTTGGTTCCATTGTCCTTGGTGTTGAATTTTGCCAGGGAAAGGTACAATCTATGTTTAGTAGTTGAAGGCTTCCTACCATTGCATTGGCTCAATGATTTTGCATTGGTGGAGCTTGGTGAGGGGCGGGAGGCAAAAGGTTCTATTTCGGTTTGGGGGATTCAGAAGGTAGGGGGTGGGTGGGTGTTAGGATGTTTAAGATAAGGGTACTTTGGCAGTGGATAGCATTAATGTTGTTGAGTTGGGTGGGTTCCCCGAAGTTTGTTTCAGGAGTGGAGTTAGTAGTAAGGAGATGAAGGATTAGGAGTTACGCCTAGGGTTTAAGTCAAATGAGCTAGAGCCAATTCAAGGTTTCAGTTCCGGTTCGGGTCAGTTGGGGGGGGGGGGTTAAAGGGGCTTCAAATTGAGGTGGATTTGAAATTTTATTTGGGTTGACTTGTTTAGACCAGATTGGGCCTTTACATGATTCATTTAAATTTGATGAGGTTTTTAGGGGCATTTGTTGCTTAATTGTCTCGAACAAGAAGGGTGAGTTTGCACTAGGATCGAGTCTGCTAGAGAAAATCTTAAGGGAGTCGATGTTGTTGATAGGAGGTCGTTTATTGCTGGCGTAGTGGAGGTGCCATTGGTGCTTGAGGAAGAGGGGTGCTGGGGTTTTTAGATGATTATTGAGGTCCAGGGGAAGCTTAGGCTCCATTTGGTTTGTGGGAAGATTTGGGTGGGATGGTATTGGATGGGAAAGTGTAAAAGGGACCGAAGGACCGAAGTATTGGAGCTCAATCTATTGTTCATTCTCCTCGTCGTTTGAACCAAAGGAGCAACGACGACGATCTCTCTCCTCTCCGATCTCTTATTCTCTCTCCCTTTCTCCCTCCATTCTTTCTTTTATTTCCTATTTCTCCTTCATCCACTGCAACTCTTAGCAGCGGTGGCCTGTGAAACCAGCGGCTGCAAAACCAGCGAACCTTGAAGTAGCGGCGGCCTATGAAACCAGCGAAGTTCGAAGCAGCGGCGACCTGCAAAACCAGCGAAGCTCGAAGTAGTGTTGGCCTGCAAAACCAGCGAAGCTCGAAGCAACGACGGCCTGCGAAACTAGCGTCGACAGAGGACGAGGCATGTGGGAGGGAGGAGGAAGATGAAGAAGAATACCAAGTTCAAGTTGAATGGACAAGGCATACGGGAGTGAGGAAGGAGATAGATTTTCTCGAGTTCCAAATCCACGATTTTGGAATCTGGCATCCCACCTTTTTCTCATTCCATCCCCCTCCTTCCCTCAAAACAAATATGAGAAAAGGGAATATTTTTGGAATATTCCCTTTTTCTCATCCCCATCCCACAAACYAAACGGAGCCTTAGTGATTGTGCAAGGGTTTTTGCTTGGTGGGAATCARCTTTATTGAAGGAGATGGTGTTTGAGGAGGCACTGATGAGCTCCTCGATTTTGCGATCCCAAATCCACGATTTTGGKATCTGGCATCCCACCTTTTTCTCATTCCATCCCCCTCCTTCCCTCAAAACAAATATGAGAAAAGGGAATATTTTTGGAATATTCCCTTTTTCTCATCCCCATCCCACAAACCAAACGGAGCCTTAGTGATTGTGCAAGGGTTTTTGCTTGGTGGGAATCAGCTTTATTGAAGGAGATGGTGTTTGAGGAGGCACTGATGAGCTCCTCGATTTTGACTACCTTTGGAGAGATTAGGAGCCTAGAAAACGTTTATGATGGGTGAAGAGTTAAGTCTGGCATCTACTTATCAACCTAGAGAAGTGACGGTTGTTTTAGGTTCGATTGTGACTTCCAATCTTCAGGATTCTGGGAGCTTGGTGACTAGGGAACTGGCAAGGTTAAACATTAAAGGAGGTTGTATTGATGGTTAAGAGGGAGAAGGCTTAGTAGGAGGATGTTTGCTTCTTGCAATAGTTGAGATGGGGTTTTCGAATCGTGTTTGAATGGTGTGCTAGAGGTAGTGGAGTTGGCAGGTGGTAAGGAAGATGTGGTTAAGAACCATTAGTTTGAAGATGAGGCTAGGGTTTGGAGGTCGAAGAATCAAGAATCTTTGTTGAAGTCCCTATTAGATGTGTTGGCAAAGACTTGGGTAGGAAGAGGGTGGAGGGTGAAAGTTTAATGTTCAACAAGGGGATAAAATGAAAAATAAAACATATGTGATTTAAAAGAAAAGATGAAAGGTCCAAAGAATGGTCAGTTGGTATATGTAACGAAAAATTTCTCTTGTTTAAAAGAAGGTATTTATGGTGCTGACCCTTCCAATAAATTTAAAAGGGTGTATATTAGGAAGAAAATGAAAGATAAGTTAGGTGAGGTTAAGTGGTAAGGAAGTGGGTCGAAGGGGATTGAGGATATCTTTGGTAGTCAAGTGGTGTTTGTGTGCCAAGTTGTTGGAGAAGAGGAGAAGAAAGAAGATACCAATGTAAGGATGGGGATTGAAAGAAAATGAAATCAGACCGTAGGGGCCAGAAAATATAAAACTGAACCTATTGAAGATCTAGAAGGAAATGGAGATAAGGTCTCAGATGTTTCCCTTCAAGAGGGGGAGGTGGAAGTGGATGAAGCTCGTGTTGTGCAAGGTAATTACATCTGGAAGAGGTGGTTAACAAGGAGGTGGAGGTAAGTAAAATCTTAGGGTTATTCTTTGTTGGGGGTGAGGAATTTGTGAGGAAAGTTTTTAGAGAAGTTGACGAGAATAGAGGCTAATTTTTGAAGAAGAGAGGGACATTGGTAGGTGGGGTAGACAATTCCTTAAGAGGCTAGTCTCTTCTTGGTTTTTTAGGTGGTGGGAAGAGTTTCTTGAAGTGTGATGTAAGGTTGAGAGCTTGAGTTGTGAGGACTTTGAGGGCATTCTCTTTGTAAAGGTTTTTTCGGGGGTTGCTTTTCTTTCTTCTTCTTCTTCTTCTTCTTCTTCTTCTTCTTCTTCTTTTGTGGGTGATTTGTCACCCCTGTTGTACTTCCTTTTCTTCTTAATGAATTTTCGTTTTTATTTAATTTCAAAAAGAGTACTTTTATATTCTGAACTTTTTTGGGATTGTAATGATAAAACAAACATCATTAAACTAAATGATTAAGTTAGTGAGTTAAAATACTAGTTTCTTTTTATTATTTTTCTTTATTGTTAGGGTTCAATCAATATGTATGATTCTTCTTCTTCTTCTTCTTCTTCTTCTTCTACTACTAGGATAAAAATAAAGGCTCAGAGCTTCTCTATTTTCTGAAGTTTCTTTTCTTTTCTTTTTGATCATTCTTCCATTTATTTCATGAATATGTTGATTTTCTATGTTTTAAATAAAGTTTTTTTGATATATGTTTTAAATGAAGTTTGTACATTTTTATGAAGATTATAGACAATTAATAGTAAAAGATGGTTAATTGGTCAAAAAAAAAATTGATAAAAAAAAATGAAAGATGGTTTCTGCTTGCTATGGAACCCAGTGAATTACCCTAGGCTTAGGATTCATAATTTTTATTAAAAAAACCCCCGCCTAGGTGCCCACCTAGATGACTAGGCAGCAAAGCACCCCTTTTACGCCTTAGCCTTGCCTTGGTGCCTTGAAACTATGCTTGGAACAAACTGTATCGTATGTCTCTTATCTTTCACAAATTAATAAAATTTCTAATGAGTTACAGAAAGAAAAGGCTTTGTTTAATATTGGATGTCGTGTCTTTGCTTTCCTTTTACAAATAAGGTTATCATTTTGAAATGTCATATGCCCAGTCTCAAAATGATTATTGGATTCATGTGACTATAAAGCACCGTCAATCATTAGGAATTAAAAAAAAAAGAATGTGATTGCAAGGTACTAAAACTGACAATCTGCATATTTTGCAGGACAACTCTTGGCTTCTGGGCAGGTCATCGCAATTCTAAAATAAGAGTTATTTTAGCACATGTGTGGGAGAATGACACAGAACTTGATATCATGAACAATAGAATAAACAGAGCCACTGGACATCTGGTTTATCAAAAGAGATTTTACAAGACTAAGTACTGTATATGCCCTGGAGGTTCCCAGGTCAATAGTGCTCGAATAGCTGATTCAATTCATTATGGGTGTATTCCAGGTAATAACACTTGTAATATAGTTTGTCATTATGAATCGTCAATGGGCCTTTTGAAATGCCATTAAGGGTTGACTGATCTATTAATGGGTAGCAGTAGCACCTAGTAATTGCTTGTTGTCATGCTTTTTTTTTTTGAGAGAATGGTAAAGTAAAAGCAACAAAAGCACCTTGTAATTGCTTGTTATCATGCCATTAGTGGTAATAAAAGAAAATTTATTAAAGAAAAAAGCTTACAGGGGAGGTGACTAGTGGTCACCAACTGGATAGAGCCTAGAGGTGACCACCCCTAACAATAAAATTCAATACAGAATCCTGAAAAACAACTTCCCTCACCAACCGGTAGTAAAAGCAACACTTGCTAGTCTATTTAACTGCTTCATCTATTATCAGATGTGCTAATAAGATAACAACAATGTTTATGATGAAATATTGTTACCTTAGTTGCTGGTTCTTTTTTTTTGGGGGGGGGGGTTGGTGCAGAGGACCATTCTGGAGCTTTTTTCTTCTCATTATTCCTAAAGTCCCAATGAGTATGGTCTGGTTCTAGAATTTAATATTAGCAGTTTGTGATCATGAGGTTGATAGTATGGCACTGGATAGTTGGAATTTCCCATTCTTGCCCATATACACATTCATATGTGTGTTCTGGCAGAGCTGTGCATAATGATATTGTTTTAATGTCATTAAACACAAGCAGAAAATGAAAAGGAAATGGGAAAACAAAAAAAAAGTTTTTACTATTGGAGAAAGAAATAAGTTTGAACATAATAACAAGGAACCTTACTTGTCAAGGGATACCATGGTCAATTCAAATTGTCCTAATATAGGGATATAGGGTCATGTAGATTGGTTATTTGACAGTTGCTTTTTCCATGCTATCCACCTTTTGATTCTTTTGGTAAATATTCCTTATTATCTCTGTTTTCTATCATGAATCCTTTCAATTGAGACTTGAAATGGGAAAATTGGGTGAACTGGTGTGGTGGCTGAATACGTGATTCCTTGCAAGTCTCTTTTACACGTATGGAGACCCTGGGTCAGGGGTACAATTTCAGGAAACGTGTAAATGAAACATGTATTTGGCTTGACAATTTTAGCTATTCAAGGACTGCTGATCTTACATGCCTATAGGGCGTGTAGGCTGTAGCCTTTGCAACTCCTAAATGAGACACCACCGACCTTCTCTAGGCATCCAATACCTACTCTCTTTCCAACCAGGGCAGGTTGATCGTTTAGGGGGTTTGAAGGGTTACATGCATGTAAGATTAGTATTCCACTTAGAAATCTTGTATCTGATTGTAATGCTTTTACTCTTGTTCCTTACTAATTTCCGTGGTTGTTATTGATAAATAATTAAAGTTTGTTTTTTGTGCATAATGATATGCCACTGATTTACAAAAGTTGGCAGACAGATTGTCATACCACATTCAGAGGTCATGAGAAGGCTATATTTAACATTTGTTGTATGATATGCATCCATCCAAAATTCATATGCTTAGTCATTTGGGTGTTTTTCTTGCAGTGATACTATCTAATTATTATGACTTACCATTTAATGACATCCTTGATTGGCATAAGTTTTCTGTCATACTCAATGAGCAAGATGTGTACCAACTCAAGGACATTCTCAAAGGCATACCTGATACAGAATTTGTTACACTTCACAACAATTTGGTCAAGGTACAAACTCTTGCCTAGCAACAACCAATAATAGAAAATACTGACCTGATTTCTTCTTCTATGTTTTGTTTTCACTTTAAGATCATTAATCCGTACCAGCTTATTACCAAGTCTTCTTTAATTGGTTCTCTGTATACCTTATTTCAATGATTATGCGTTTGCAACTGTTAGAGCTTGGGTTTGATTCCAATATAATTTCCAGGAAGAGGAGGGTACCATTATCCCTAATCAGGTCAAGTAGGGATCTTCCCTACATGATCTATCCTATTTCTTTCATGTGGATGGATGATGTGGCAATCTAAGCTGTATGAGTCAGGTCCTACACCCTGTCTCATATTAATATTTTCCCACCTAATGACCTAATATTGGCTGTTCAAAGTTTCAAATATTTTTAATATAAAACTTGCACCTAAATGGGTTTATTTTGAACATGTGGCAGGGGCTTTTGAGCCAAAATTTGTTCCATGAATATGTGTTGGGGAAATGAACATGGGGAGTCCTTTTAGGCTACAAACCTATTTGCCATATGGGAGATTCTTGCATTGTATAGAATTTTCACTAAATGATCCAATGTGGTTATTAGACTCTTCATTTTTGGGAAATGGTAGATTCAAGTAAACGCTTTTTAAATCTTGGTCACCAATTAATTCTCTTACAAGGTCTACTGCCTAGAGACCTTCCTACACTTGTGTAATAAAACATTTTTATCATATTAATAGAAGTCAATGTTACCAATAAACAGATATTAACTTCCACACTTTCCATTGCCCCCCTCACAGTCACAAAGTGACACAGAGATTGGAAATGGTAGCTCATGTCTCATTGATTCACTATTGTGTTTTATACATGCTTACCCAAAAAATAGTGTTCTACATAGAAAAATACAAATGTGTACTTTCTACAGTAAAATGAAAAGGTAAAATTTGTGTATATATAAAGCAAATCACCATGTATTTCTTCTACATATGGACTATGAAAAGGGGTTGTGTCAGACCATTTCTTTTACTTTTAGCTAGTTGGATACAGATTAAAAGAGAAGAGAAATTGATAGAACACCTAAAAGAGAGAAAGGAGGGAGAGACTTTGGAAGTGTGGAAACTAACATCTTTTTACCTATTTGGAGTATAAGAGAAAGTTTATGTGCAATTGGTTAGGAAGGTTTACTTATATCTATTGTTTTCAAAAAATGAACCCACTGCCATTTGTTTGTTCTAGGTAGTGACTTGAAACCTTTCTTCCTCGGACTGAAGAATTATTAATAGATTGGATTTTATACTGTTTTCGTTCTTCAGAAGGCTTTGCATTTGTTGATGGGCTTTTCTTTTGTGATATGGTTCTCAGGTTCAGAAGCATTTCCAATGGAATACACCTCCTGTCAGATTCGATGCATTCCATATGGTCATGTACGACCTTTGGCTGCGTCACCGTGTCATCAAATACTGAAGTGTCGGAGAATTCTATAATCCTTCTTGTACGCGTTGACGTTTCTGTGTCAGTCACAGTAAGAGCGACTTATCTTGGTCCCACTGATCCAGAAAGCTTGTAATATCATTACATACAAGTTTTTCTTTGAATTCGTTTTGGGTGAAGAACTGATCAGGAATTCTGAACCTAGACTAAATGAAACGGAAGATCCACAAGCAAGTTGGTTTGGCAAGAAATGGCCACGAGATGAGCCGATTGACGTATGCCAACGTATGTTGCGATGGTAGATAGACCTCCCTTCCTCACCAGAAGGTTAAGTTTATGGATTGCTTTTTTCAATATAACGTCACCGACCTGATCAACGGCATTTTGGTTTGTTATCTATTTTCTGTTATTTGCAAGTTCGTTTTTCTCGTTTTTTTTCCCCTCATGTTGTTTTCCTACGCTGATTAGTGTAAAATATATTTTGTTTGTCAATTGATGCAGTTTGCCTTCTGCCATGGAATTGATCCACTTTCCTTTTAACCAAAAGTAGCATATCGTCATGCCACATTCAGGGTCTGTTTTGACTTTTGATAATTGTTGAACCGAAAAATAGAAAGCTGAAGTAAAAGGAGCTTGAATATATCTATAGAAAAAAAGCTTAAATATAGGGGTTGTTGGTGTATGATATAAAGAACTATTATTATAAATTTATAATTGCAAATTTGCAATGTTGTGACAGTCACAAGTCGCAACAATTTGTTTTTCTTAAGCGAGATAAAGATGGAGATATGTCATATATAAACTAATATTCACGATATGTTTTTTAAAAATATTTTGTTCAGTCTTAATATTAGTCAATTACGAAGGTTTGTGAGTATTAATGAAAATAAGAGTGATTATGGTGCAAGTAAAAATATTAGAGGGTTTATTTAATTTTTTGTTGGTTCAAGTTTTATATGGTTACTTGTTAATCTGTTAAAGACATTAAAATATTAAAGATGCGATATTTTACCTTGATTCACATTTTTCATTCATGGTGCAGTTTCTGCACTGATATTTGCCTGAAGATAATTGTGTACAAATGGTACGTATACAATTACTGGTGTAAATGGAGATATTATATCATTTTATCATTGAATTTCAGGTTTGAAAAATGATGCAGAACCAGAACAAAAACAAGATAATAGCATACTCTTGAATTAGATCCATCTAATTAAATATATGAAAGAAGACCAAAGTTAAAAGGATAGAAAAAATGAAAATGATATGCAAATCTATATTCGAGAGAGAGAGAGAATCTGCTGCAACTCTTCTCAGTCCCTATTGACTTTATAAATGAGATCAACCGGGTTGGGAACGCTGTTTTTGAAGACCACACCGTACCTTGCGATGAGGCTTCTATAAACATTGATTCTTTCATCATCCTGGTTCCTGACACCATCTTAGAAGCCAGCCCATTTAACTTTTTATCCCCTGCTTCTTCAGTAAGAAAGCCATCAGTGACCCAAACCAGATTGCTTAAGCAAGCGAATAATACAGAAACAAGTGTTCCACGGTCTCAAACTCATCAGGACACTTTGGGCAGTCTGGGAATATTTTTGACTATCGATTAGAGATGCAAACAGATTGGATCATATTTGAATAAGGTTATATTCGAATTCGATCCGACACTATTAATTGTAGATCTGATCTGATTTAAATATTTGATCGGATCTAATAGATATGGATCTGAATTCGAATCTAATTGGGAAGTTAGATATTCGAATATGATCTGATACAAAAATATAATATAAATAATATATTTATAAATAAATTATATATATATATATGTATTATATATATTCATGCAAATAAATATTAGTATAAAAACCCTGCAGCGCATTAGAGAAACATCTCCATAGAAAGTTTTTGCCTTTCTAGGGGGCCTTCAATTTCCAAATCAACCTCCAAATCTTAGCCGGGGCCTTATTTGAGCCGACATTGCCATTGCTCTGTCCTGCAAATTGGATATCACATAAAACCTAGATTTTACAAAGAGTCTGACTTGCTCCCTCTAATGGACCAGCATTCCAACTTAGGCCATCTTTGGGAGTGTTTTAAAGTAAGTGTTTATTTGGGCTGGTACCACACCATTAAGCGCTTATTGGTGTCTGGAAAATAAGTCCAAAATAAGTGCTTATTTTGTTTTTAAACAATTATTTATAATATAAGCACTCCCAAACATGGTGTTAGGAATTCTTGTAATTACTTGTTGGTTAGTCAAGCTAAAAAGAGAACTGATCTTTGTAATGGTCATTTCTGTCATTTTTGATTAATGGAAGGAGCCATCATCATCATCATTGTCATCCAAACCTTATCTCAATTATATGGGATTGGCCAAGTAAAATCTCGTTTTGCCATTATACTCTCTTTATGCTTAGTTTGGAAAGAATACAAATACAAATATGTACAGTGCAAATACATACAAAATACAAGGTTTTGCACTCTACATATTTGTATTTGTATTCCTTCCAAACTGAGCCTTTGGGAAGAGCACAAATGCAAATACATACAAAATATAAGGTTTTGCACTCTACATAGTTGCATTTGTACTCCTTCCAAACTGAGCCTAAAGAGTACAAATACAAATATGTACAGTGTAAATACATACAAAATGCAAGGTTTTGCACTCTATACATTTGTGCTTATATTCCTTCCAAAATGAGCCTTAATGTCATAGCAATGATAAATTATGGGATTTTTCTGAGATCAGGGGAACAAAGAATTTTTTGGCGGGATCTCTTGAAAAAAAAAAAAAAAAAAACTCACTCTGCACTGACTTTATAAGCATGGACATCACGACAAATTTGACATAAACATATGGGAGATATCCCCACTGTGTGGCTGGATGCTGTGTGTACAGAGTTTTTGCTTGTGGCTCAATTTAGAAAGAATACAAATACAAATCTGTAGAGTGCAAAACCTTCTATTTTGTATTATTTTGCATGTATTTGCACTGTACATATTTGTATTTATACTCCTTCCAAACTGAGCCTGTAGAAGATTGGACTCCATTGACACATTTTTCCCTCTCATGTCTCTTGCTATATGATCTGCTCTTATGGAGATCGTAGCCCCTCACATTATCACATACTACTCCATATCTCCCACCCACAAATTGTTTCACATCCATGCCCACAAGACACTAAGGCAGCGTATAGGGAACATCTGCCCATAAATGACAAAGGAGATATTCTCAGTGTGCAACTGTAGTATCTTGTGGGTATGAATGTGTAACAGTTTGTGGATAGGAGATGTGAGCTCTACACACAGCCAGTCAAATTGCTCTTACCTACAAGACATTATAGCCGTATATTGGGAACATCTTCTGTATTTGCATGTTATCTTTCATTCGGAGATTTTCATAATTAATTAATAGCTGTATCCTGTGGGTAAGAGATCAATGGGGACCCAGTCATTTTTGTTTTCAACCTAAAGAAAATGGGACAAATGTCTCATCATTAATGGGAAGACACTGCGGGACAGAGAGGAAAGACAAAGACAGACAAACCCATCCCACTTTCTCCTCCTCTTTTCATGATCTCTGAGCATATTGCGGATCGAAACTCAATGGCTTAAAAGATAAACCCATTAATCTCTGAGTATAGAAGACGCATTCATCTAAAAATTCGTTCCAAAGTTCTAATTTCAGTAAACCATATAAAGAAACCTAGAGTCTTTGACATTAAGAAATGTGGAGAAATCATATTTCAAATTATCATTGTTAGAGTTCAGGTTTGTCCACTGTATCATTGTTAGAATTCAGGTTCGTCCACCGTAGGAAATTGGTTATCGGGGATCGAGAAGTTTAAGTCTAAGAGGCGGAGATGGTATTTTTTCCCATCAAGCTGCTGTTCGTATTCTTGCTCCTTTCAATTATTGGATGGGTTGCGTTCATGTAAGGCCCTGAACTTCACACCAGCCGGCTTTATAACTCACATGTTTGTTTTGTATAAATTAAATCTGCTTTTTCTCTGGGCTCTGTTATCTGGTCTGGATGACTTTCGAGATTATTTGGGTGCCATCAATCTGCAACTTTCTGCGTTATATCTTGTTTCGTTCATGGCTTAAGAATTTAATATAGGGCCCGTTTGGGACTGGGAGGGCTGAGCTGTGCCTGTGGTGGTTCAGCTTCTTTGAGCCCTTCAAATGACTGAGTGCCGTTTGGGAGGGCTTCAAGTCTTTAACTCGGTGGCTTCTGGTTTTGCATGGTGGGTTCCACGTGAAAAAGCTTAGAAAAAACTATATTTGGTGAAAACCTTGGAAATCTCAGATGTGGTTAATTTTATTAGGCCAAGTAATTGGCTTTCTGGTGAAACTAACTTAAGTGATTTCTTTGAGGGGGCTCAGTGAAAAGTGAAAACAACTCAATCAATGCTAAAACCCTTTGAGGGACAGTCAATTTGGGCTCTAAGATATGTGGGGCCCACCTCAAAAAGCCAAATGCTGATGCACTTCTGCCCTTTCAAATGGGCACCTAGCAACTCTTCTCCCTTTAGTTTTGGTGATAAATGATGCCATTTTGAAGCTTAGCCTTAGTAATTAAAACAGTGTTCTCAACCCGCCATTGACCCGGCCGGTTGAACTGTTCAAACTGTCACTCAATCAAGATTCTGGGTTCGGTTTAAGTAAAAATTGGAGGTTAAAAAACTGTTGACTTGGTAAAAAATTCTTACCCGTTAATTTTTTCAAAAAACCCATTTTTTTGCCTCAAATTACAATTTTTAATATTTTACAAATAAAAAAATTTAAAACTGAACTAAAAAATATAAATTAAATACAAAATAATTCATATATTACATGTAAAACATAATTATACATTATTTATTGATAAAATACATGTTATACATATCTATACACACACATATATAATTTAAAATTGGTCTAACATATATCTTTTTTTTTATTTTATTTAAAAGTAAAGAATAAGAATCAATTCAATGGCTTAAACTGAAGTTTCTATAATGGAAAGAAACCACAAACTCATATTCATGCATAATAAAATTCAATATTCTAGGAAAAGAAATGAAACAACAAATAGCAATACTAGCCACATTCAATGCATGTGCTAATGTACCATTGTAGGTAAACAATATAATGGGAAGTTATGGTATGATCAAGGTTCAAAATATTGGTATCGCTTATCGTAAGCTTGAAAAGGGATATGTAGTATGATACACTTTGAACACACATGAATACAATGGGAAGACATGGATGCACTTGAAAATATGAGGTGCAAACAGAAACGCATAATTTAATAGCTTATATGAAAAAATGCGTTCTGATAAGCATGCAGAGACATTTAAATACCATCCAATAACTTTATTAGTAATGCATCAAACAAGAGTCCAAGGGACATACTATAAGGATATTAATATGGTATAATTTATTTAAAGTTAAATTATCAATCAATAATTATGAAAATATAAAATTAGTTTTATAATATATTAGATCCATCAAAATGTAGAAGATTAATAAGTCCAAGAGCCCAAGACACAATCATACAAATCATAATAAGCAACTATTAGATTTTAATTACTAAAAGAATATTCTATATTTTATAATTTATAATTTTTATATTAACAAAAAATAAGTCAGCTTATTATTAAATTCTTAATATGTTAACTAATGTCTACATAACTTCTTGAAAATTACTTAATATAAATTAAGTTAATTTTATAAATCAGTTTTATTTATGTAAATAATAAATATGATGTTATTTATT